CGGATACGCCAGTGCTCCTTGCTAAAGTAAAAGCTTTGAAGGATGCTTGTTAAAAACGCGTTAGATGCGTCATTCATTGTAATAGAGGAATGTATCAAATCCACATAAGATTTCTGTAAGTATCAAAATCATCATAACAAATAGTCACATGCTACACTCCAGAACAAATCCATAAAAATTCCTCTGGTCATCCACTGGCTGTTCACCTTTCTGGACTGTTTTTTTTTCCATGAAATGACGTCATCCTCAGCTGACCTGGGGTAGAGACGAGCCATATGCTACTTCATGTTGCCTTGACAACGAATGATATGTCTTCCCCAATACTAGTATAAGTAACCCATTCTTAGGAGGACAACGAGGCATACCACCTTAATTCCCTTAAACAGTTGGCGCGTTTCTTTGCTTTCAAACAACCAGTTTGAGCAGTTTGCTTAAAATATATCCAGGCTCTATGTTGATCATTTGTCAAGATTGGAAAAATTTAATTACTCAAGGCCAACAAGGAAAAGTGCTAAAAATGAACTCTCTATAAATTTGTTTTTCTAATACGTGCGTGCAAGGATTCAATTTATTTAACAGAGACACTTCCACCGAAAATTGTTCTTCATTTCAATACAAAATAATTTAAACCCATGAAAAACGTCAGTCATCACTTTACTTTTTAAAGGCTCAATGTCAATATAAATGAGCAACTATCACCTCCTATCTTTGATAAATGAAGACAAAATGATTTTATATAAAAGTTTTAAAGCCAGCTTTAGGTCATGGGTTCTCTTGTCTAATGGCCCTAAGGACAAAAACTTCGACCCTGGTGAAATTTCTTGCGTTAATCTGACCCCACGCATATTTTAACAATTTCAATAAAATTTTGTTCTGGCCCTACCAGGTGACATGCAGTCCTGTCCTCAAGTTATGCGAGAGTCTCCCACAGTAACTATGACAAAATTAAACAAGCATGGTTCATACATTTGAACTAATTGGCCAATTTAGGCCCACTTCACATCAAATGTTTCAACGCTGGGCAAAGTTCACATTGGTATTGCGGTTGTAGTAAAAATAAGTTGTATTTTATGTATCACGGTCCATAAACGCCTTTTACCGGCAGTTAACGGTGTCTTAGTCTATTAATTACATGCTTATAATGTGTCCCACCGGTTAAGGTTGAGATGTAGCTACATGAGCCACCTCACGTTTAACTCTCCAACGTTAACGCTTCATGGAATTTGACAGCTATGTAAATGTTTTGTGCAGAACATCTGGTGTAAAAAGGAAATTACAAAGATTATAGCAGTTACAGTAGTTTTATTCATTCACCTTCAGATATATTAATTGAAGAAAAGCAGTGACATATCCTCACTACACAACACCGCTGATGATGCCCCTTATTGTATTGACAGCGATATACGACATATATTTCACGACTAGAAAAATTAAATTACTCAGGGCAACCAAAGAATAATGCTTAAAATGAATATTCATTAAAGTATTTTCTTATACGTTAATGATTAACTTTATTTAAAGTATACGTTCTTACACTTAAGTAAACTTGTTTTATTAAATAAAATAATGCTCGCATGCGCACATGGTGTGATTTGGGGCTCTGCGGACTAGTAATTGCAATTGGTATGAATAATGGAATAAGTATCAGCATCAACCTTTGGTGGGGTACATCATAGTGTTACAGTTGACAGCAAGGTCGTTTTGCCAGGAATGTGAAGTCGTGCACAGCATCATATTGATTAAAAACACAAAAAAAAAGGGCTTGAATAATAATAATAATAATAATAATAATAATAATAATAAGTTGATCAAAAAGTGATGTAGCCACTTAAAACAAGTTCTTTCGAGAAAACAGCAGGATTTGACTGTTCATCGAATGCCCATTTTTTACTTAAGATAAAACTCTAGTAGTTTTTATTTTAAAACGGAAAAGTTTTTTCTCTCTTTCAAGCACAAATACCTCATTTTTTTCTGATTCGTTGCAGTATTTTTGTTCGACTTTAAAACTTTTCCCCATGAGATGAAACTCCATTTTTTCATATTATTATTTTAAAGTTCTATACTGCGACAGCATTGACGATTTCAAAACTGTTGTGAACATGTGAACATTGGGAAACCTGAATATTCTGCTCACAGGCACACAACCCTCCCCCCCCCCCCCACACACACACGCACACACGCATATTTGCACACACACGTGTGCACATGCTAGGATACTGAAGTTTCGAAACAAGCCAGTCTTGTTACGTATTTCTTTGCTTAACTTTTCATCAATAAACAGTTTAAAAATTCGAGACTCGAATCACATTTAAAGACTACTAAAGGCAAAGGCACGAAATAATCATTTTGCCATGATCGAGGAAAAACCTTTCAATAATTAATGGTAGAAAATGATCCTCTGCTTTGAATAAAAGAAGACGACAAAGTCGACATTGTGCACTGAAGAAAAATTATCAACTATTTAATCAGCACCCGCGTTTATGGATAATCCTTTGAATGATGTTATAAAAAAACCAAGATTGTTAATTCACTTACATTTTAGTGGGGTGCTTCTTTACGGTTCGCTCCATTCAGTTCTCCCCGAAGACAAAAACAATACTGGCGTGTATCAACCACGAACTAAAGGGAAAAACTGTGGCGGACTATCTGGGTATTTTCATTGGTCCTGACTTGTCATTAATTTAATTAAAATTTATTTGGTGTAATAGATGACGGGGTTTATGGTCTGCAACGGTGCGTCGATGTACAGTCATTACTTACACCGATTTTTCTCTCTGCACTGGAGAATTTTTACTACGGACATATGGACTTCAAATAATGGGATATATGAGCACCGTGATTTAGCAATGCTGGTTTCTTTCCGCCGTTGCCTTCATGTCTTCTTCCCCTCAGATTCACCCCCGAGTTTCATTTCTCAATTCCTTCAACTCCCCAGACATTATGCACATTGTGCAGACCACAAAATATTTCCCAGACATGTTTACTGATTTTAATGAAGTCGTGGGCATGGGCACGCGGCTCGTATTAGCATGGTAATTGCTCTTATCTAACTTTAATTGGTTTTATTTAACGTCTGTGCAGTTATTGCACTTAACTAATTTTATCTAGACTTAATTGTCTAACTTAGATACTGTACAATCACAGGGCTGTCACGCCGATGTCTTGTATAAAAACAGGCAACGTCCTGGGAATTAAAAAGAGTTTTGATTTTTTTTAACTAAGCTGTGATGTCGAGTTGATTTTCTCACCAGGCTAAAACCCAAGCCCGGAATCCTAAACCGGATCTAGAAGTTTCTGTAGTCGGATTGGAGTCCCTTATACCCGGCGGAATTATTATGAAGTCAGTATAAATTTTATATTTTCATGAGAATTAAAACTTTATCATATTCTGGTGAGATACATTCACAACAACAACAAAGGAATAATACTCATTATCATGATAATAACTCAGTTTAAATGGTAGTTAATGCATCTAATTTCATATTTTATATAGAAGACTCATTATAAGATATATTTTTCCATATATATGTATTCAATTATAATTATAGCCAAAAAGTAAATGGCTTTTACCACCTTTCACTTATAACATTTATACAATTCTCAACTTATTACATGTCATTATACAATGCTCTGGAATGATCCACAGATCCTTAGCAGATCCAGTTTTTTTTTTTTTTTTTTTTTTTTCTGTTTGGGTGTCCAGTTCACCCAACTCCTACCAGGCAAACCTGAGAGGGTAGCCGGAATAAGTCGCCTTACTCAGGGACGGATTGAAGCCGTCTTCTGGGTCTTCTGGAAGACCGTCAGATTTTCAAGTTTATATTGACAGGCATGTAATTTTTCTGTCGGAAGACGGTCAAAAAATTAAGGATTGACCAAAAAATTTGGAAAACTGTCAAAAACACCTCTGGAGCCGCCCCTGTTGCTCGATGGTTCTTTTATGCCATGCATTTTTTTTGTCTTTCCACTGATTTCAAAAGTTCATTATCCGGTCCGTTTCTGTGTCGTAGTGATGTGTGTGTGTGTGTGTGTGTGTGTGTGTGTGTGAAAGGGGGCGTCTTTCCTTCCAGAATCGTCACCCGTCGTAGGACGTTGGCATAACTGATCGTTTGGATATAGAAGATAAACCGGTCCCGTTTCATTTTTATCAGTCATAGATTTATATCATTAAGTAAACGGGTTACTGTTATATGGTATTAGGAATTTAGTTTAGGTTATTTCTCCTCAGTGGACTAATTTCAGATTTGAAATTCAACTCTGTAGTCTTTCGCGTTATAAAGTCAATGTTTTAGGTGCATTAGCAGTTAAAGGGATACCAAATGTTTGTATGATAGCCATATTTCACAATTAATACATTGTAAACAACTCATAGAAATTAAATAACTTCTCTATCAGCGACACATTACGTGGGGTCATGCAATGTCCTCGCGTAAGGTACACTTGAGCGATTATCACGTTGGTCTTGTAAACCCACATGTACTCCTCTGTAGCCTCAGACTACTGGTTTCTTTCAAAATAATTTACATGCTAAAATTCGAGAGATAATTATTTTAACAGAGGGGCTGACCTTCCAGTAAATTTTCTTTTTGTAATTCACATCATTTAACAGTAGTATTTGAAGGGTTGATATTTTTTACGATTAGATCTTTATGCATTCGACAGAAGTATTCTACACATTTATATCGATTTGTTCAATCATCTACTGTTGCATATCATGTTCATACTTAATTGCCATCCATGAATATTGCTTCGTTTTTTAGTCCTAAGCTTGTCACGATGTCAATTTCATGTCTCTGCTTATATAGGCACAAATATGAGACCACGCCGAGGAGTGTCATATACTTCCAACAAGGCAACTTCATCTGTTATTTCTGGTATACTAGTACCTGAAAAGTACTTACATTTAGATCTGCTAAACCAACCAATTTTTTAAGTTTAAAGGAACTAAAAAGTGAAAACAAAGTTTGAAGACGAAACTTTATTGTTGACAAATACACCACTTGCGGTGATTTTGCGGTGATAAGGTACATTTTAAAGTTTATCTACTGTGGTACACTATTGACTGGTGTTACTTTTCACCTTAATATCCTCCATTATTTTAACAATGGGTTCTAAGTTGTATATCTGTGAAAAAATGCCTCTTAACTTTTATAAAATATTGTAAGTTCGAACCTTTCAGTATATAAACAAATTTAGCCTGTTGCAAGGATTTAATCGTTTTATTTATAAATTATAATTAGGTACGCGCGGTTCCAATCCCCGTATTGTATTCAGAGCTGTAAAGCCCATGTCAACTAAATAAACTACCTTCATTTAAATTGATAAACACGGAGTAGACATTTTTGTGATAATTAACCATATTATTATGTTATATAAATATATGTGCATGCATATTCTTAGTTTCTGACCTCAAGCAAGAGAACATTATTGATACCACTTCATGCGCATGCCCAGCTGTATCAGATATTACTTCTCCATTTTGATTGAGGGGGTGTGGATAGGAAACTGTCCCTCTGGCCTCCGGACCCCTCGAGAAAGGATGAATTGCCTGTTTCACAAAGAAACTAGGTCGTTAATGGTTTGTGCATTTAATTCTACTGTATTCCACGTTAAATCAGACCAGTCCAATTTTAATTTAAATGTACTAATACTGCATGGTTCCATTTGCTTTATTCCCTTAAATTACTATGAACTAATCTTGAACCGAATTCTATCTGAAAGCTTCCACAAATTTTCGTACGAATGTTTTTGTTAAAAAGGCCCTTGTTGCTGTAATGGTCTCTCGTTATGCATCTTCATCATCCACACTGGAGCATTGCACAGGATCTTCTGATTTCTCGACTAAATACTGGGTAATCATGCCAGCGCCCACGTGGTCGTCCACGTGACAGTGCATCAGCCATGAGCCCGGGTCGTCTGCCAACATTGTGGCAACTTCAAATATACCGGGAAATACCTGTAAAAATGGGAGAGTGCCTTGTATTAATAATAATAATAATAATAATAATAATATAAACTTTCATGTCTGCAGACTTCAATTTACAGAATAATACATTAATTTTTGGAGATAAATTATATTATAAGTCTAAAATTCTTATACAGAATATTTAAAATATTACACTTGAGGGGGGCTTTTGAATAAAATATTTAGAAAATATTTAAAAAAAAAACATTTATAAAACGTCTTTAAAAGATCAGTCTTGAGTTCCTTCTTAAAACAATGGTTTGTAAGACGGAATAGCAAAGGCAGTAGATTCCATTCTCCTGATGCTGCCACACCAAATACTGAACGTCAATGCCTTGGAAAATCTCTCTCTCTTTCTCTCTCTCTCTCTCTTCATCCTTCTATGTGTCCCTCAGTGTGTGTGTGTGTGTGTGTGTGTGTGTGCGCTTGTGTGTGTGTACGCGTACACAAATGTACCGAATATCGATCTATACATCTGACAGTCGAAAATGCACAGCTTTGCGAAGACAGTAGTTGTTGCGTAAAATATTAAGTCCCCACAATAAAACACGTGGTGAACAAATGTTCACAGTATTAATAAACGTTTCTACTCTCACTACTGAATAATTTAGGAGTAACAGAGCATGCAATGTGGAATTCACTATTTTAAAATCATAAATAAAAACAAAATATAGGAAAGAATTGCGCCTTGGAACAACGGTTTACACAAATGTATTATGTGATTTTGTAGATCAGCATCGAACAATTTTTTCAAGGAATATTGAGCAAAGGCAATTACCAGCTTTTCACTTTAGAGAATGGCCAAATACCTTTTTTGCAATTGCTTACGGTTTTGCAGGAATGGTAGTCTTAAGTAAAGGAAGTCCAAGATCCCATAATGCATTAGCACAGGATATGGTTAGAGAGAAGTGTCTGAGTCAGTATGGGACAAATCAGACTAAAGTCACTTGTGATGAATAATATAGAAACGGACTGCGGTTCTAAGCGGGCTATGATTCTTGCTATACCGGAAAATTTATGCAGACAAATCCGAAAATATTACCTCAAGCGTATCTCCTCTGTGCGCACTCTCTGTGTTCCAGATGTACGAGTTCGCGTGAAAGTGCACCGTGTGGATGTCCACGCGACCCCCGAAGCTAATGAAATACCAGGCCACGAGGTCGCATTCCTTCATATTAAACCCTGGGTCTCTGGCCGTGATAAGCCCGTTGATAGCTTCATCATGGAAAAGACAACATGAAATTATTCAGATACATTGTTAAATAATCAACATCATCGCTCAGGAGCCAAACATAAACAGAAAAATTTACACACTCTTACGATTTTTTTTTTTCTATAGCGCCCTGTAAACCCCCAATTCAAAGAAAATTGGTCCAAAATCATATAGGACCCTAAAAGACATTTTTTACATAGGGAACTTATAGAACGTCCCATGGACTGATTTAATTCCTATATAGACCTGTAGGTTTCTTACGGAGTCCCGTAAGGTTCTATAGGAAAGTCCCGTAGGGACAAATCTACCGGGTAAACAAAGGAGGCGAAGAAGAAAGAAAGGTAAATAAATTGTCTATCATCATGTTATTCGTAGAATTCCTAAGGTATTAGGGTCACATAAACAAATGAAATGAATAAAATAAAAAACAAGGAAAAAATAAGTTACATACGATGGAATCTGTTGCTTTCTAGGAATTCTGCGTCAGTCTTGTCTGGCAAAAAACCGGGATACTGTGGATGACTCATGATATTTTCGTCAAGATACCAACTATCGTTCTCATCGAATATGGTCCATAATGTAGCGATTTCTTTCTCCACATCGCGACGCTTGTTTTCGGAGAGTGTACCTGGAGCAATGTCAGTTGATTTAAATTCGTAAAAATCTAAACTAAAGTTTGATTTTATTTTTAAAACACAACATGCTCGTCATTAAAAGCATTCCAATGGATGCGGTTTTCTGTTTTCGCAGTGCGAAATGACAGTCGTTCTCATTGCACACGAATAATCACATTACATATTTACTTCCTTAACTTGACTTGTGGCTTTCAAATGTATTTACACCGTTCATTCAATAAAACTGATGAAATGTTTTAAATTATATGACTGCCGATATTGTGGTTGTTGCCCAAGCACTAATTTTAATTGTGAAGGGTAACGATAAGTTATCGTTACCCTTC